ATTTGACATTTAAATACGATTTCTCTACGACTTTAATGCAGAAATGGTTCTGCTGGCTTTCTGGGCCACAGCCAGCCTGTAGTGGAGACTGAAGCAGGAGGAACCTGGAGTCAGTCCTGTTCATGAGCTCCAGGCTACAGGTCAGATGTAACATTTACAGACGGTCTGAACGGTTCGGGTTCAGTTTGGACTGAGCCAATGGAACATTCAGCTCCATCCATCTGTCCCTCTACTGCGCTGCCTCCCAGCACTCCCTGTTTACTTTGTTTTATGTGGAAAAGACTCCCGACTGTCTCATCTGCCCAGACAGCCTCTCCCAGGGGGCCCCCTACCTGCCATGTGGCGAACAGCACCCAGATCTCCTATAAAGCTGGGCGTACACTGTACAAATGTGAACAGGGGCTAACGAGGGGCCATCAGCCTCTAACGACCACCTCCCCATCAGGAATCGTAAGGTTGGGACAAAATCAATCATGTCAGCCGTCCTAAGGTGGTCATGGGTAAATCTCTCAGTGGGCAAACAAGGATTCTTCTTCTTCTTTCTCTCAGAGGAAAACCCGGCAGCATGGCGGGGGGCAATGAGTGAAATGTAGTTCTTTCTGTCAAACTGACAGACCGTAGTAGCCACGTTAGCTCAGCCATGTCTTTGTCCAAATACGTCGTCGCCTTTTCTTTTTAGGGCTTTCAGCACTAAATTGCCCAAATATCCAAGGCAGCGCGTTTCACTCTAGTGAGCTTCATGTTCCTCTGCTACTGGTTTGGCTTCTGGATAGACGAGTCACAGTAGCGCCATCTCACTGCGGAGCTGAGTCCCACCTGGTTTTTGGTTTCCCGCCTGTTTTCTGAAGAACCTGAGGCCAGAACTGGCTAAAACTGGACTGATGGGTGCAGACAGGCCCCGCCTCCTCGGCCCTCTATGTGAGCAGCAGACTGCAATCACACGCTTTTGATTCCACGGGTCTGAAGTGTTTTTGACGTTTTGCTTTTTAACACCAGAACTGGTGCTGCGGCCGACTGCAGGCATGAAGAGCCGTGGCCCCCGGCACGTCATATCCAGGGGCCGGCAGGCGAACGAACAGGCGGTTCTGTTTTAAAACGATGGTCGAGTCAGGAAGAAACACAGAGCCAGGCCACAACTGCTGAGCCTGGGTAACCACGGCAACCTCAGAGGACTACAAGGATGCTCTCTGGAGTCCTGGATCATATCTCCCTGCCAGCTAAACCAACATTTATCTGACTGCATTAAGTCAACCAGGAAGTTTGGTGGAGGGATGACCGTGGTGAGGGCCGTCTGGCTCCAGCCTTTCATTTCCAGTCAAACTCTTTCCTCCATCGGGGAGCTGAGACATTCTGGCCGTTTTCCTACTGAGGAAACGGAATGACCTGGACCTGCTGCAGACGCATCGCGGTCCAGACCACCGCCACAGAGCCTTAGTGGTGGGACGCTGAGGGCGTCCCCGTCTTCTGTCAGGTGAGCATACCCCAGCATACCCACAGCCAATATGCATGCGCAAGACGTCAGATTTGTGTTTATCCCTTCAGTTTTGTACAAAAAGTAGACTTTAAACTACCTCAACAGGCATGTATCCCTTTGGTCATGTACAAAAAAACCATTAAAGGTCAGATCACCGCACACTTCAAAAAACACCAAGAAGTAAGTAATTAAAAAGGTTTTTTGTTCATGGCTTAAGGGATACACGCCTGTTGAGGTAGTTTAAAGTTTATTATTCGTACAAAACTAAAGGGATAAATTAAAGGGATGATCAGGTATGTTGTTCTGACTGGGTACGCTCATCTGAAAGCTTTTTGTGACATCATGGCTCTAAAAATGGCCGTCACTACCCGATCCGTGCTGCGCATGCGCGAACAGATATACATCCAGGTGTCCATAAATAATGTTATCATCGTACTAAAATTACTTATTTCTATCCTTAACTCTCTATAGAATGCTAATACACGTCTTTAAAAGAAATTGTATGTCTTTTCTGAGACATTTTGATCCTTTTTTCCATTTCGTCCGTTAAACTTCTGACGTCATCATCAGCCACACTCAGTGCAGTCCGGCTAAATCTGATTTAACCATGTTTATCCGCATTTAGTTGTTTCTTTCTGTAGATCACGAACTATATATCATAATGTTACCATGAAAGGAAAACATAAAACTAAAAAAGACTAGATTTATGTTTAAATCCAAGTCTAATAAAGTTAGCTCCTGGAAGTAGCGTAGCATCCCATTTCCTGTACAGAGCGGGAACAGCGTGATAAAACAGAAGAGATTTAAATGCTTTTATTTCTCTGCAAAACATTATTAACCTTTAACGCATATTAGTTTAGTGCGTTTACTATTTTTAGGGAGGGGAAAACATAGTTTTGGTTTTTTTTAACCAAATAAAATTGAGGGCGACCCGGATGGATGTCTGGATGCACAAATGAGCTGATAG